AAAAAGTGTGGAACATTACGAAGGCTTTTTTGAGGAGGCGTTTTCCGGAATTTCAAGGCTGGCATCCTGCAATGGTCAGGGTGGTAGGTGTTATAATGGTGGTAGGTGAGGAGGCTGCTGTGGCTGTTGGCACCCGAATCCCAGGTAAGTTGCCTGTTGCTTCTTTGAACCTTCACTGCCCGCATGAAGGAATGATGGAAAATCAGAAAACAAAAGGACCAGAGAAGAGGGAAAAGTAATTGAATTGCACAAATAAAAGAAGTAAAAAAATGAAAATAAATTGAAAATAAAATAAAATAAAATAAAATAATAAATAACCTAGTCTTATCTTCTTACCAGGGGCTGCTAACTTAAAGGAACAGAAATAGTATTTTTTCTCAGAATAAATGCTTCTGATTGGGGTTTTTTGTTTTCTTGTATTAGTTTTTAAAAAGATTAGTACTGAATCAATTTCTTATCTCACTCTGGCTTTAGGAGCTAACATTGCAAACTTCCTTAGAAAATACTAAGGTATTACATATGACCACTTACTGAAGGTTAATAAGTCTCTGCTTGCATTCATCTACATAAAAAAGACCAACCAGATACTATACATAACACAGCCTAGAATGGAGGTGTTTACTTGCCAGTCATTTCAATTTACTGCATTGACATTTTAAATTTGCCACCATCTACTGTTCGCATTACACTCTTCTGTGCAGTAAATGACTTCCCTGGGGCAGCAGCAGAAAAACTCTATCCTGAAGCCTGGTTAATAAAGCAAAAGGTTCTTATTGATTAGTTGGATGTGCATTTTCATGTTTTTTTTTTAAACTTGATCTTCAAAACTTTAAAATGATCCTTTTCTGGATGAAATTAGAGACCATATTTAATTGCTGATTATATGTACGAGGAGTCTGGGATACAGCGAAAGTGAAGGCCAGTATTTACCAAGAGAATGGGAAGCATTTCAGTTGGTGTGTCAAATGTTAAAAGGAAAATGATTGAAGTCATTCTTCATTAAATACAGTCTACTCATTATTAAACTCAGCGTAGCTGTGTCCTTCCGTAGAGGAACACTTCAAACTGGGAACTACTCACTGAATTTTTGTCTTAAAAACACTGAGGGATTCACCCATACTATGAAACGTAAGTTACAGTCTTTGTCCCATGAGCTGTATTACCTGTGTCTCTCTGCTACCTGCTGTATCTATAATGGCTGCAGACTACAGCGGTAGCCAAAAATCATTGACTTGCATTCCCATCTTGCTCCGTGAGACAAAATAAGGGGGAAAAGGGTAGCCACAGCAGCAAGCACCGCACAGTACCAGAAGAAAAGCTATCCTTTTGTTTCATTTCATATTACATGAGGAATGGTCTGCTAATTGTCTGAATATATTAACCTTCCTCTGACTCGAAAGCAATGCCTGTCCCTACAGCGAGGAGTAGATACCAGGGAAGGGAGAGGAAAAGGAGAGTACAGGGGCTCACCATGCCCCCGTGGCCTCGTGGGGTGGTGGGGACTCTGGGTGCCCCGGCACTGCCAGGCCTGGCCTTTGGGGTACCTCACCCACCCAGCACCAGTGCCAGCGACCTCAGAGACTTTGGAAAAATCTCATGTCAGCTAGAGAAGTCCCAGAAACAGCAGCAGTAGCCTGATACGGCCATATACATATATATATCTCTATATCTTACAGACTATCATATCTTCTCAGATGAAACCGTCTCTTTGATTACGTGCACAGACAGCAAGATTTCAAAACTTTAACTATGGTGCAAAAATTAAAATCTGATAAGAATAGTGTGACCAGGTGGATTTTCATTATTTTCAAGTTGCTGTGAGCCTTGTTTAATTAAAAAGTCTGCTTCCAGCAGGAAATTATCTGGTAGTCTTTCATTTTTTTTTTTTTTAAATGTTTTTTTTTCATGCTGAGAGTAGATATAAAAATGTCCTACAAAGTGGGAAGGTACATAAATTCAGTTTGCTCACCTTGTAGAAGGATAATCCTAATTCAACAAAAATTCTGTACAAGAAAATCCTATAGTGTGTAACCATAGTAATTTAGTGGTAATTTGAGCTATTCCAACCCAGGGTTGTGTATACAGCGAACATAAAACTAATGGGGCAGCAACAGAAATGAGTGTTAGCAGCACAGTGTAGATGAAAAAAAAAACAAGAAAAAAAAATCTGATCTTTTATAGTGCTCTCCATTTTATTTTAGGGCTAAAGTTTCAATTTATTTTAGATACTGCCTTTCCTGCCCATTTTAAATTCCTAACATGTTCCCAGAAGACCAATAACTGAGGTCAAGAGATACAGCACTAATGACTCAGCTTATCCCAGACACATAAAGGGAGTTTTTCAAACTCTGCAGCATCTAGGCCATACCACACCTGATGAAAGGCTGTTTCCAAGAGGGTACTTGCTTCCATAAAGCATGTTACATCTTGAATTGGTCATGATATGAGAGTAGCACCACTTGGTGAGGTGCTGGGAAGCACTGTAAATGTCCCTGTTATTCTGCCTTACTTAAGAAAGCAACTTTACTACCATAGGGAGATTTCCCCCCAAAAGATGTGCTTATCTAGCGTTTGCAGGTCCCCTTGATATGATTTTGTAACGGCCAGTTCTTAACTCTGGCATGGTAAGAGCATTGCTTTTTCTAAGCATCTACATTGGGTCAAGGTGACTAGCACATTAATCAGTCTGTTTTAAACATTGGTTAAGAAACCAACACCTTCAAGTAATACAATCACCTACACAAATCTTTGGCCCTGGTACTCATCTTCCCAAAAGAAACACTCTTCAAAGCTTCTCTAGCCAGCCAAAAATTGATCGTGTGACATCTTTGCTTCAAAAAAAGGAAAGATCCATTTGCAATGTGCTACCATAACTGTGAAAAATGGAAATGTATTGCAAAATTTGGTCTCCATCTCATTCTGCTTCTGCAGTATTACTCCCTGCTCCTTTGCCCCTCTAACTGGCTTAAGTAGAAGGGGAAAGAGATGCAGTTGAATAATGGAAGTACGTGGTATCGCAAGAGTTACTTTTTGTTCACTCTGGTCTTGCAAAAACTAGCGTTTCCTAAGACATTGGTTCCATATTCACCACTCTGACAAACTGACTAGAGCATCGCTTATTCGGGGACAGCCTGGACCTTAGATGCCCAAGAACATCTACCATCACTGACACTTCAGTATTACAGGCCCAGAAAATGGTACCACTGGCTCATGCTGCAACACAGGTACTTGTTCTCTGTGTATTTGATAACCCTTGTTGCTTCTTTGACATCCATCAACATGCGGTATTTCAGATTGAATTTATGAATGCTGTGAATTAACCACTTTTTCAGAATTAGTTAGAAAACAAGACAGGCAGTGCCCATCTTCAAATATTAAGGCATTTTATATATATTTGAATTGAAAAGGTAAAGCCATTCTCTTCAAGCATGTTGGTATGAAATAAATAACATGGTGAAAAACGGCTGGGATCTAGGGAACTGTTTCCAAACACAAACCTTTTTCATAAGCACTGACAATGAATGCATGAAGCAATCTCAGAAGTACTTTAAAAGATGATGGCAATAAATAATAATGCCATTAGCAAGAAAAAATATGTGTTTTTTTTCAAGTATTTTAAGGGAGAACAGGTGTATTAATGAAGTGGTCATAACAGACTAGCCAGTCAATCTGCAGAAAAGAAGGTGGCCATGGCCCTCTCTTCCCCCTCTAATTTTAAGAAGGAATTCAGAGAATAATTTTCTGAAGGACCTAGTTGCCTCCCCAATGATTGCAACAGTAGTCAACAGGTGTCTTTATGTACATCTACAAGTGTGCAGAGACATTTCTCAGTAAAATATTTCTTTTCTCTATCCATAGGAATCTCAGAGGGTACATTAAGGACAAGAAAACACAGAGCCTCTCAGAAACTGCAGAAGCATAACCTTAGGAGCTGAAACAACATTTACAGACATAACTGCCATGATAGCTTTCCTGGCCATTCAGCAAGGGCAGGCAAAGTAAAGACAGAAACATAAAAGGGCTATTTGGTGCTACAGATCCTCTTACCGTGCTCTGGGCCTTTCAGTGCTAGCCGTGTCTGGTGGTGAGGAAGGATCTCAAGTTTGACATTATCCGCTGCATTAGCCAAAAATTGCGTTGCTTCTGCCAGTGTACAGTACTCCATGCTGGTGCCGTCAATGGACAGAATATGGTCTCCTACATGTAATGCACCACATCTACATAAAAGGGGAAAAACTCAGTATGATCAGGCATGCTCTTTGCTTTGAAAATGAGTTTTACTGCCTTCAAACTGGTCATGACAACTATGAGGTGTTCTTTTTTTTCGAGAGAGATTTGTGTTTTGTAGGCATTGTCACTGGTCAGACTTTATATCTATTAGTACAAACCTTAAAAACAATTCAGTTAATACAGTATATGCCAAGACATCACTCACAGAACTGGAATGGGGTAGCTGACTATAAAAATATGTGTGAATGGCAGCAGAATAAAATGAGAAGAGCTTAAGGAGACTCAAATAACTTGGTCACATATCCCTCACACAAGCACCCAGTTTATCATTTTTTGAGTTAGAGTTCAAACATTTATTAGTACAAAAGCTGTAAATGACGATGAAATTATGCAGTAGTCAAACAAATAATGAAACCAGGGCTAGCACGGTGACTTGAGGAGTGGGGTGGGGAGGGGGCTATCTGCTAAATCTCGCTGCACTCAAGAGACTGGCTACTGGATGAGTTGAGAAATGCAAACACAGCAGTCAGCATCCCGACGTACCAGTCAAGTGGACAGCTCCTTTAATTGGTTACCCCCTGCGAAATGGGAAAAAACAGAGGGAGAAAATTAAAGCATCCTGCACCATTGAACTGGAGAACACCCCTGGATCAATGGCCGTCACTCTCAAAGTTTCTACTGTAGGAAAAAGCCCACAGAGGAGCTGTAGACTCACTGCTACAAGTCGGTGCTACCAAAAGCACCGTTGTCAAAGAGGAGTTACAAGGTAGGGTGACTGGGACATGCAGGAGAAATTTGCTGCTGAAACGTAATATTTAAGGATTTTTTAGGTAGAGATATGTATATAGAAATATACTGTATATGTATAAACACATACACACACACACACGCACGCTCTCCAGAAAAGATCTCACAGCTCTGCAAACAGAAGCTTAGACCATTGGGGGAAAAAGATCTATCATTTTTTAAAATGGTTTAAATGGTTTTATTTAAGGGTTTAAATGAAGTGGAAAAATTACTGCAAAATACAGAAGCCAGTCTTCCTAATACCTCAGTCATATTCTAAAATATCAATAAAAAAATCCAGACATAAGGAGTTCCATTTCACTGTGCCACCAGAATGAGTGATATATTCTAAAAGAACACTTCAAGGTTGCAAAGCCTCAAAATTTACTTCCCTTGACAGTTGTTCCATATTGTATGCTTACTTTAAGAATTCCAGTGGGTTATTTATTTTTTTAAATATTAACCTCTGCTGCAGCATTACATTTAATAGTCAGAGCAGACCACTAAATTTCTGTGTTGCATAGTGCAAGCAGACAGCCACATATTACATGGGGGCTGGCTTATGTCATTGAATACTATGTGAATGAGCTAAAGGAAATGGTGCCCTGGAAGTCTTGAACTTGGCAGTATGGAACAACAATCTGACAAAGTGCTAATTTTAAGACCTAGCAACCTTGAGATCGTCTGGTTCAGTCAATTTTGTCAAAAAAGGTTCAGTCAATTTTGTCAAAAAAGGGAAGGGTTTCTTTAAAACCAAACCAAATCAAAGTAGAAATAAAATGGATGTATGAACCTGCAGTGTCAGCCCTCTGTCACACTCACCTGTCTGCAATACTCGCAGATTTGATTTTGTCTATGACAATGACCTGTTTGTTGCAGCACATCGAGGTAGTTAGTGCAACCCCAAGAGCAGCACCGGGAGTTTTGGCAACTTCAACTAGCAGTGGCCCAGATGCTGTTGCTACCGAATCTGTTAAAATTAGACAACAAAAGATCATTATTATATCCATGTGGTACTTAGGCCATTTTCATATTTTCCCCACATAAAATCTTCATGGCTATTCTATATCTCTAACCAGACAACATGCCACATAAAGAAATTCTGGAATAGCATCAGTTTAGGTGTCAGGAACCAGATCTTAATGTTGAAACCAATAAAAGCAAGAGAAGGTTTGTGAATCTGGGATGTTGGGAAGCTTCTGAATGTATCAGAGATGGACCAGGCTAGGGAACCAGGATGTGTTAGTAAATCACTCTCTTGCACAACTAAGCTAAAAATCACCTGGAATTTAAAACAGTCATGCTGAAGAAACAAAATTAATAAAAGAAGTAGAAAATGATCTGGAAAAAAAATGGACTGAGGTGAACAGGGTAGAGAAAGATGCTAAATTAAAGTTTCAGAAAAAAAGCGGAAGGTCTGTGGGCAACAGCTATAATAATTAAACGAAGAAGGTGAAGGAAGGGTCTACCAGAAATCCCTCACAAAAAGAAAGGACAATTTAGGAGAAAATAGAGAAAGTGCAGGAGGCATGACAGCTAGAAATATTAGGAGTTAAAGCAAAATGCATGTGAGGAGGTTCAGAAGATTCTTGTAATATCCTGTCACTGGATAAAGTACTGCCTTGCAACAGGGCATGGATGGTAAATGACCAACACTGAAAAAAGAAAGCAGAAAAATAGGAGGCAGAAACGGTCATGACTGATGACTGTGGTGAGGAACTATGCCCAAGAGAGACAAGTACTAGACAGAACAAAAAAAGACAGCAGGCTGCTTCCTAAATGCCAAAAACAAAGCAGGCAGTGATAAGAGTGAAGTACATTCTGGAGACTACCCAACAACTCTACTGATAACCGTCAATCAACAACTGATCTCAGTGGAGTAAGATACAGTAAGAGAAGGTGTCCTTTAAGGACATAAAAAAACTGAGACAAAGAAAGTGGTATCAGAAGCCTTTGGAGGTGCTTACAATCACAATAAGGAAAAAATGCATACGCAAAGACTTATGCTGGAACAAAGTTACCAAATGTCCTGCTAGCAAACAGGAGAGATTCATGTTCATAGAGTACTGGAGCCTGCTATAAGGTTATTAGGAAAATGTTCAACTGCAATGTCTCTGATAAGTCCCTGAGATTGAAGCTGTAAAAGAACTGCAGCTGGGCTTCAAAGTGTGGAGGAAAAGATGTTCCATTCAGTCTTAAATCTAGAAAATTAGTCCAAAAATGTAATTCTAACAGAGAAGAGAAAGACTGTGAAACAGTGTATTATTGTACAAAACTAACAAGCTATATGATACGACTACCTGGAAGGGGGTTGTAGTGAGGTGGGTGTTGGTCTCTTCTCCCAAGTAATTAGTGACAGAACGAGAGGAAATGGCCTCAAGTTGCGCCAGGGGAAGTTTAGATTGAACATTAGTAAAGATTTCTTCACCAAGAGAGTGGTCAAGCATTGGAACAGGCTGCCCAGGGAGGTGGTGGAGTCGCCATCTCTGGAAGTGTGAAAAAATGTGTAGACGTGGCACCTGGGGACATGGTTTAGTGGGCATGGTGGTGCTGGGTTGATGGTTGGACTTGACCTTAGAGGTTCTTTCCAACCTTAATGATTCTGCGATTCTATGATAGTACAAGAAATTGAATGAGAGCTTGATTAACTAACACTCAGCTACGGTGCTCTTCCTAGTTAGTGCGTAATGTAGGTAAAGTGAATATAGAAATGAAGTGAAAAAAGGTGCTTTTATGGAATAACATCCAATACCATAAAGCATCAGTTAATTATTATTGAAGCCCTTTTCCCCCCACCACTCAAAATAGTTTTTATATTCTTGTTGTCTTTTTTCTAGTTAGAAACCTGAGGTTTGAAAGTGCTCATTAAATCTGAGTGATTAGTTTTTGTGCCCAACTGGGACTGACTTTTTAAAGGCTGAACTTCCACAGGCACTACCAAAATAAGCTGCTGTATAAATCTGAACCAAGTTTCAAATTGTGATCCAAAAGA